TAACTTATTTAGATTTGTTATCTTTTATTATTCCATGATAACTTCATAATATTGATGTTCTTAATTGTTTAGGATGCATACTAGGTGATTATGATCAATTGATAATTGCTAGATTATGGTTTATAATACATAATCAATATAAAACTTGTTTTAATAAACAATTAGATTTAGTGATTTCTAATATTGATATCATTATAATTTATGAAGAATAGAAGTATAGGTTAAAACAACCTCGCTTTAGTGTTAATTATCTATTTTAGTTATTCTCTAATTTCGTAATGTTGTTATTGGATTACATGTAAAGAGCTTGTCCTAAATGGTTCAATAATTAGAATTCAAAAAGCATGTTTTTCTTATGTTTGATGATTAAGGAGAACGAGTTAATCTATGCTTTTTAGGTTAATATAGATCAAATAATAAATCATGAATAAGGTTCTTAAGTATCATCTATGATCAACTTGCAATTTGAAGGTAAATGTTCACTCTTGACCGAGTTTGTTTCTCTTGAGTAATTTCTTTACTTCAATTCTTTTCTTTTTACTAATATTTAATGTAATCCCCTTTTATTTCAAGTGGTTTTTATGTGAGTAAAAATAATAACAACAATGTAGCATAGTTTCTATGGGATCAACCTAAACTTACCTTTAGCAATAGTTATTAAGTTTAGATTATTATTAGTAAAACCTTTAAAAGACTAGGTCTAGCAAACAAAATATAAAAAGGGCGAGTGAGAGAAATTTAATATTTCATTTTGTAGCCATTGTTATTTATAGTGCCACATGAGAGATAATTATTGTAATCTTTATAAGTCTAATCAAACTCTAGCCATGAAAATGGCATATATGGTAAAACCTTCAAAGGTCTAGGTCTTGCAAACAAAATAAAAGAAGGGCGCTATGAGGAATGAGTTATCTTAAAGGACCTCTTTTCCTATGTTGTTTTAGATAGTAAAGTGGTTGACATATCTTGGCTAGATTCAGCTTTCAATAAGAGGCTAGCTAAATTAGAGAAACAAGGGAAATTGTTGTCTAATAAATAAAAGGAAAAAATATAAAAGAGTTTGGCTTAGAGTGGTTTGAAATGCATTACTAGATTTGACGAGGATCATAATGGAGATTCATTCCTTTCTCTACCTTATGAATAGAACTATTTGGAATTTATAGGGTGTTTAGTGCTCCGTATAAGAAGAGGTACCTACGTCTACCGATTAGGCAACATTAGGTAGCTCTTCTAATTATTCTAGAGTCTAAGCAGATGTGTGATGAACTCTCTAAATTTACTAGGTCTTTAAATTTTTCTAGCTTTCTAAATAGAAACCCTTTAAATAAGCATATTTAGATTCTATCGAAGGATGCCCTATCGGTGGATTTGTATTATGTTTGTTCATAGTTTATTACAATTTGTATTAGGGATATTGCAACTAATAAGGACCTGTTGTGCACTTTAGTCTATGTTAGTTGTGATCGGATGGAACTTAGAAACCTTTGAGACAATCTCTTTTCTCTTAATGTTTCTCATCTCCGGATCATTAGGATGATTTTAATACCATTATAGTGTCATCGAAAAAGCTCGGTGGTACATAATTAGAGATGGGTTCCATGTTTGATTTTAACAATGACATTCAACTTTTTTAGGTGCAAGATATTGGCTTTAATGAGAGAAGGTTCACTTGGTGTAATAACCATGAAAGGGGCATAAATTTGGAAGAGACTTGATCAGCTTATTGGTTAATCCTACTCTCTTGCCTAATTTTCCTAAGGTGATTTATAGTCATTTGGTGTGCCTCTACTTTGATCACTTTCCTTTGCTATTGTCCTTTACATTGTGTATTTCGAAGCCAACAAGATTCTCCTTCAAGAAAATATGATTGTCATATGTTGATTTTTTACCTTTTATACAACAGTAGTGGTCTAACAATTTTAGCTAGTAGTCTATTTCTTAACTTACGAGTAAAATATAAGTCTCTTAAACGAGTCTTGAAGTCATGGAATTGATGAGGTTTTGGTGATATTTACCAAAAAAAAAAAATTAACCAAGCTAAGGATGAGGTAACACAAATGAAGGCAGCATTGTAACATTTATGGTCTTCTAATAATTGTAAGCTAAGTTGGTAGAGGCCAAAGATAACCTACTTAGGTGGGTGCTTCAGGAGAAATTACTTCTATAAGAAAAATCTCATATTAAATGGCTTGAAATGTGGGGTCATAATAATGTTTTTTTTTCATACTTATGTTCATAATCATTTTCTTAAATGCAAATTTGATCTAGCATTAGATGATTGCTCCTTATATACCGATGATGAGGTTGTTGGTAAGGTAATTGTGGACTATTTCTAAAAAATCTTTTCAATGAAAGCTATTAGTATATGTGCCTAAGATCCAACTATGTTTTGATGGGCTTGGGTTATTGTATTATTGAATCACTTATTTTAATAGAAATAAAAAAAATCCTTCTATTAATTCTTATTTTTTATGTTTATTACTTCAATAGAATTAGATAAAAGTCCTTATGAAATAGTGATCGATCAAAAGACATGAAACAAATATTAATGCATATAAATGATATCATTAAACGTCCCAAGTTATAACATTATCAAGAATGGACATTGACTATATTTAGATAAACTTGTGAGTCCTATGCTTATGCTATATGATAGCTATAGAAGATATCACACCTATTGGCATGGTGATGCCAAAGCAAGTACTTAGATAATTTATGTTAGAGAACATATCACTAGACTTGACTTGCCATGAGAACCCATTTAGTTTAGTCTATTGGAATCTTATATGAGATGGGTACAATCGATCATTAGACTTGTATGCCATGAGAATCCATCACGGTTATCTCATAAGAAAATTTATGACTTTGACACTCTTTTTGATAGATCCAAGTAAAGGGTCGCACGTGGGTGATTCATTGGGTGCACTAGAAATCTAATGGAACTAGGTGTATAACTAAGATAAGAAATATAATTCCGTATATGCTAAATGAGTTATGACATTACACTTTGATGAATCTCTACTTGAGAAATCTATGGTCACAGTAGGAGTACACCAATAAAGCATAGTTAGTTTACTCTAAGAGCTAAGACATTTGGGAATCGAAGAAAACTTGTGTGATCATAATCAAACAAGACTTATAACAAAGTTCGAGATAACACCGTGATAAGTTCATATGAGGATTGAATTGTATGGTAACCATGTTCGTGAAAGGTAATAATGGATTAATTAATCCTCCTAGAGAATTGGATAGTCATGACGCTTTATTAGATGTCGATCTTGATTTATGTATCAAGAGATAAAAGAGGAGTCTTTTGTTCTTAATACATAGTCAATATATCTAGGAGCCTATTGAGTCACACGCATAAGTTTAAGTATTCGCATGATTAAAAAGAAGCAAAGATATTGAAAAAAATTTTAATTTTGAAAGTTTTCTATTTTAGAAAACGTTTTCAAAAATTGGAAAGTTTCCTTATATGGAAGTTTTCTAGAATGAAAAGGTTCCTATTTTAGAAATTAGTTTTTTAATTTGGAAGTTGGTTCCAAATTTGAAAGTAAATAACTTAAAATGGAAATGAGTTTCCTAATTTAGGTTAAAGGGAATTTTGAGAAATTATTACCTAATGTGGGTCGCTTAAAATTATCTAAGATTATTTATTTGGATGGTCCAAATAGATTAATTGGATCGTAATAGTTTTGGCTCAATAGGTTTAATTAAAAATCCTTAAGATATTTTGATGAGAGGATAAACATCAACCTTATTGGGTAAGGATGAATGTTTTAAGGATAAACATCAACCTTATTGGGTAAGGATGAATGTTTTAAAGATAACTTATAATCCTCGAAGGATTAAGAAGCAACAACCATAAGTCTAATTAGGACTTATTTACTCGTCTCTCTCCTTATCCTTGAAGGACAAGGAAACTCTCCTCCTATAAATAAGAGGAGAGGTGTGACATAAAGAGAGAGTTTTTAGAGAGAGAAAATTCGACACACTAAGAAAATTAAAAGGGACACACGATTGAAATAAAAATAGGAAAAAATTATTTTCTCCCTAGCCCTCGCATGCCACCTCCTCTCTCTTCTCTTTGGATTGTTTCAAACTTGTCCGAATTAGATTTTTATAGGAAACACTACATAAATTAAAAAATGTGGAGCTAGCACTCTACCACTTTTGAATGCTTCTTTATGGGTACTTGACCGCATGGATCATCAATAGAGGCCGAACACTTGGGCGGCTTTTCTTCTAAACAATTTAGATCCGTGCTATAAAAGGTAATTCTCTATTCATTACTTTAATTCATGTATATATAGTTAGTTGATTCAATGGTATGATCTTGGGCCCTTTAGATGGAGGAAAATTTTTATTTATTCCGTACTTCCATAATATGCATGATCCTTCAAAAGCTACCTTTATGGAAGTAGATTTTCTAGATGTTGTTTCATTTTCAGTTATTGATGCTCAAAATCGGATTTGATAGCTATCTCTTCTCTAGAAGAGATTAATCTATGGTTTTTTTTTCACATTTTTATTTTTAACAAATTGTTAAGGTACCTTCTCTCGCTTGTTAAAAAAAATAAAAATAATAGATATATGCCATGGTGGTTGGAGTGGGTTGTTGTTGTGGTACTACCGGAAAGATGGTAGAATTACTAGAGAGGCCGTTGGAATGGTAGTTCACGGTTATGAGCTTCGGAGTGGTGGTGACTCATGATTGTGAAAGAGCAAGGAACAATAGTTATAGGCTATGGCTATAGCAATCCACATCTATGAAGAGTTGCTAGAATAGTGGCTCACAACTATGGAGCTACTATTGTGATTGGAGAGAAAGAGTAGGTTGTTGGCATTGATTGACAATGAAGGATGAGAACGGTGTTGATGGAGAAGCTTTCGAGGCTACTAGGTTCGGATGTGGGATGGAGATCGACATTGATGGAAGAGCTTATAGAGCTACTACCTAGAACTAACAATGACGAAGAGGGTGGAGAAGGAAGTCATTGATGGAGGTGTGTGTGGTGGTTAATGAAGTGAGAGGAGGCAGTTGGGTTTTGGCAAAGATTTTTAGGCTAGTGGCTAGTTTTTCACGACTAGATTATGTTGACAAGGGTGGTGTATTGACGAAGAAGGTGGATGGGTTGGTGTTTCAACAAAGGAGGTAGCTGTGGCAAAAGTGGTAGTGAGGTGAGTGATCAGCAGCCTTCGAGAGGTGAACAATTGTATTTTTTTATTTTTAAAGGGATGATGAACAAGTAACTAAGTGAGAGACGGAGAGAAAAATTTTATTTATGGTGGGGTTTCTAAGGATTGTGGGTAAAAATCAGACTTGGTCCTCCGTCCTTCTATCTTTTTTAACTTTAGTCTACATCTCTTTGTTTTCTTGTCATTCATGTACCCAATTGAAATTATGAGTCCCTTGTCTTTTAATTTCTTTTACTTTCATTCTAATTCATTCTTAGTTGAGGTTTTTAATTTTTATTCTCTTTTAATTGCATTCCTAATTAGATGTTATTTTTTCCTCACTTCTCATATTTTTTTTAATTGAACTCCAAATCATCTTTTCAATTTATTCTCTTTTTCTATTCTTTCCCTATCCTTTTTTTTTTTTTTTTTGTATTTTCCTTAAACTCACTAGTTAAGAGACTCCTAAAAATCTTAATGAAAAGGTAAAAATCAAGTGAACTAAGAAAATATATATATATATTTTTTTTTTTGTAAGAAAAATTTAGTAAAAAAAAATAGGTGTAAAATTGGGTGATAACAATACCCAAAGTCTCTCATATGTCTCTAGGTCTCTCGATTGCATCTCATTTGTTTTTTAAAGTATTTGAATTGTTCAATCTGTCTTTCTAATTAATTTTTCCAGCCAAATAAAATTTTTCGATCAAAATGCTCGTGATTGAAATATATATATATATATATGCTAAAGACTTCAAAAATTATACATGTAGGTCATATGACTTTATTTTTTTTATTTGTTTTTGGATTAGGTCAAAATATTTGATCGTAACGACAGATTGAATATTTCAAAAAAATCTAGATACATGTGAAATGCAATTGAAAATCTAAAATCAAATGAAAAACTTTGAGTATTATATAGGGACAAATAGGTGTATTTGCCTTCTAACTTTTTTTTCTATTTTGGGTTCTCAATCTTTTTTTAATCTACAATTATTATTATTAATTTTTTTTTTTTTTTGACCAATCTCAAGTGACATGAGAGACACATGGAACTATTAAAACAACGACAAATATCCTAGAAGCCCTAAACACATGATATGTATTATTATTTTATGGCTTTACGTGTCTCTCGTGTGCTTTTAATGTGGCTTAAGATTAGTTCACAAAAAAAAAAAAAAACACTTAATTGCAAACTAAAAATAAGTTAAATGATCTAATTCAAAAAGAAGAAAGTTAAGAAATTTTCTTCTATTGACCAATAATTTAGAATATTTATAGTTAATTAGCTTTAAAAAAAACATATTAAGAAGTTTTTAGCTAGCTAGAATGACTCAATAATAGAAGATTTGAACTTTTAAAAGAATGTTCAAATTCTACTTCCTATGTTTCTTTGTCATCATCATAAGGTTTATGTTTTTCGATTCCAAGATTGTAGGGGGCTTGAAATTTTTTATTTTAAAATTAATTCGTATAAACCAAAAATAGGTGAAACGTGGTCAATTCTTGGATTACCAAAGGAGGAAGAAAAAAAAAAAAAAAGTGTTTTAGCTAGAAACTTTGAATGCCATGCTATTGGTAGTAATAGCGTTCTCGGCTTTTTTTTTTTTTATATATATATAACTACTAAGATTTTCTTCTTTGTTTTATTTTTCTTTTTATTAATTATTATTCATAAACTTATATGCTAGTATTGGCATCAGTTTTGCAGACGTGTCCTCCGGGGGACCCCTTGGAATTGGTCCGCAAAGAATATCCAATGGTGCAAACTCAGCTCCATGGACCCAAAAATTAACAACTTGCCGACATGTGTATCGGGAAATCCTAAAGTTAACGCATTGGAATTTCCGAATTATTATAAATAATAGTAATATATTTAAGCCGTTTGGAAAAGAAAGAGGTCATTTATGTAAATTCCAAAAAGAGAAAGTAATGCTGTTGTAGTCAAATTCGAAAATCAAGGAAAAGATATAGCCTCTTTTCTCTGTGGTTTATGTACAAGTTAGTAGAAAGGAAAAAAATAAGGAAAAAAATAAATAAATAAATAAGGAAATACTTTATGCTATAGCAAACTGTCTAGTTTTACAACTGGTGGCGACATGCAGTTTTTTTTTTTTTTTTTTAATCTGCCAAACATTGACTGAGTTTTATACTCCACTTAACTGTGTTCTGGCTAACTTCTTGTGTCAGTTTTTGTCTTCCAAGAAGAGAAGAGAGAATTTATGATGATCATTAAGGTTGTTTCTTGGTTCCTTTAGCCTGCATGCATTTGCCAGACTGAAAGATTTGGTGAGCATGTTAATTTCGGCCATCTCTTGTACTATCTTTTTTTGGACAAGTTTTTATGGTAGAATGTCGGTTTTTCAGAGTCTATCCTTTAAAAGCAAAAAATAATAATAATAATAAATAAACAAACCAAAAAACTGTGTTTGTGTTAGATTGGGTGGATGGGTTACTGAGTTGTTGAGTTTGAAAGAAATATGGACTCTTGCTATTAATTTCAACTTGATGGGGGTTCAAAAGATTAGTACACAAACAGAAGTCTTTGCTCCTCCGCCATTCAACACTGTACTCTTCTTCATGTTTTCCTTTCTCTCTAATATATTTGGTGAGTTTTTTTTTTTTTTTTTTCCCATAAAACTATGTGATTTAGATGAATCTTATTGTTTTCTTTCCAGATTTAGGTAGCATATTCAATTTCCGTTAATGTATCATATGTTTCCTTTCATGGTTAATTTAGAACTTAAACCATGTGTTCATTTGTTTTGAGTTCTTGGATTTTGTTCTTGCTTACTCCTCTTCCTTAGATTTTGTTACTCCCTTTATCTCTTTTCCTTGTCACTTACATAAATTTGCTTTTTCTTTTTTTTCTTTTTTTTTTCATGATCAGGTACTTATTCTTAGATTCATCATGGAGTTTTCAGAGCCTACAAGAATTGTCTTCAATAGAATTAAAAAACTGGAACTAGAAAATGCTACGAAAATTTTAGGCTACCTTTGGTGCAAAGGAATTGGTGATCAAGAAATGATTAAATTGGCTATGAGTTCTGATGTGGTTATTCAAGAATTGATTTATAGGGCTAAATCTGAACTACCATCTTCGCCAATGCCACCTCTCATTAATTCCCTGTCTATTTTAGAACTTCCATCGCCTGTTTCTACTCAGCATTTCTTGTCCACAGCAGCCTTTCGTGTCCCTTCTCCCTGCTGGGAGCCTCCAATAGCTGCTAAGCATAATTTAGACTTTGCGCCAATAGGTTGCCCGGATTCTATATCTGAACTCCAGAATCAAACTCAATTCTTTAGTTTAGAGGATCAAATAGAGAAACTCAACTTGGGAAATGTGGGATATGCAAGTGACTATTCCTACTCAGATGCTGCATTGGGTAATCTATGTGCAAGAACAGGTGGACGATACCGTAGCCTAAATGAATTCCCCAATAAGACTTGTCACTATTTCAAGAAGGGTTTCTGTAAGCATGGAAGTAATTGTAGGTATTTTCATGGACAAATCTCTCAGAGTTTGCCTCAATTGTTTGATGTTATAGATGAAGATCAAGTTTTCTCTGCCAACTCCCTTGAGAAGTTGGAGCTGGAAATCAGAGAGATCTTGAAATCAAGGAAAGGATATCCCATTTCAATTGCTTCTCTGCCAATGATATATTATGAGAACTATGGAAAACATCTTCAAGCCGAAGGGTACCTCACAGAGAGCCAGAGATATGGTAAAGCTGGTTACAGTTTGACACGGCTTCTTGCTAGATTGAAAAACGGTATTCGGCTGATTGACAGGTGCTATTTTATGAGCTTCGAAGGGGTTCCCATTTGACTGCCTTCTGTATAAAATTGTTTTTGAGCATTATTTTCATTGTTTGATTCACAGACCTCATGGACAGCATGCAGTAATTTTGTCAGAAAATGCCCCCAAATACATGCAAAATCGGGGTGATAGAAATGACCCCGGTCCAATTGTTAGTGGATCGCAGCAGATATATCTAACATTTCCAGCTGAGAGCATTTTTACTGAAGAAGATGTCTCCAATTACTTTAGGTAATTATTTGGTGGTATCATTCTTGGTAGCTCTCTTTTGCAGCATGAGATTTTTCTCTTACAGTTTTTGTGTTTCTTTGCAGTAATTTTGGGCCAGTTGAGGATGTAAGGATTCCCTCCCAACAGAAAAGAATGTTTGGCTTCGTAACGTTTGAAAGTGCAGATACTGTGAAGATGATTTTAGAAAATAGAAAACCTCATTATGTTTGTGGGACCCGGGTTCTTGTCAAACCTTACAGGGAAAAATCAAAGCTTTTTGACAGGTAAATTTATGAGTTTATTTTATTTTCTTCCATAGCAATAAGCATAGCCTTTTATGAGATCACAACGACTCTCTGCAGTATAGAGTTAGACCGTAATGCATGAAAATCCAGTGCTTATATTTTCAACTGAAGAACTTTGAAAGGCTGCATAGATTTGCAAATTTAAGAGCAAATTGCAGCAGTTCATCAGGTCTCAATTAGAAGTAGATCCAATTTTTTATTGAGGCTTTATGATTTGCTTGTCCTTTGACGATATGAATTTTGTTTGTTGTAGGAAGTATCAGGAAAGGATTGAGCAGGCTATATATTACGATACTCACTATGTAGACACGGATGCCGAATTTCATCCAAGTAAGTTAATGGAAACTGGAAGGGTCAGATTGGGTTTTAGCTGGGATTTAAAAGCAGCTTACGGAATTAGCTTAGAATTTGATTCGATCTCAAAAGAAAACTAAAAGCACATATTCTGCATTTCTTAAAACTTGTGGATTTTTCTGCTGGCCTGCAACTCTACCACATCATGATAATTGGAAGCTGTCTTTGATATTCATTCAATTTCCCTGCTTTCTGTAGGAAACTATGTCATGTGGATTAGATTACTCACCTATATAAAATATCTCTTTTAGTGCCAAGAACATATGGGTTTTCAAGATTTCTAAGGAAGCAGATAATGGAAAAGGAGGAGCAGGCTCTTGAACTTGAGAGGAGGCGCCTTGCAAGGCTGCAAATGACCCGGAAGCCAATGGCTGATCAATCTTACTTTGGCCACTGTGTGCACAGTAAGTTCTGCTTTTGTGTTTTGCTTGTACAACGCCACGCTTACTCCAGTTAATTCAACTCATTATCCTTGCAGATAAGTTCAGTTTGCCATCGGCAGAACATTTTGGTCATCTGTTAGATGTTATGAACAGTGATGATTCACCAACTGATGACAAATTCAGACACAAAGATACCAATCACTCTGACCACGACAGGTACAAATCATTACTAAGCAGAAGGCTTTCTTCCTATCAGTTGAATTTTAGTAGCTCTTTCTTGCGTCGAGGTTGCCTTCACTCTTGCTTAGCTTCTTTTCTCAGTGAATGTTTTAGGATAAATAGTGATCGATCTAGTCTACTCTTAGACTCTTTTTTTAATGTTTCATGATTCCAGCAGTCAAGGACTAAACCTACCGGAGAGCCCATTTGCATCTCATATCAGTTAGCAGTAACACAGAAGAATGATAAGAGTTACTGGAACAACAACGGAAACATGTTCGGTTTGATACATAACAGCTATTTTTTCCTCCTTAACTTGTTTGCCAAAGTTTACAGCAAGTACATAGTAGCTAATGAAGAAACAAGAAGCATATCCTCCCCATTACTTGGGTTGAAGGAAATAGCAAGCAGAATGATACAACACCGGCCTGTTTTGTTTATAGTTTGTCCATTTTCAGTTCACAGTGGCCATTCTTGTGTCCGGTCAGTGCCTACTTTGCTTTTATTTTTTATTATTTGGACATAGGCATAATAAATGATTGTGTTCGGTCTCACAATTTATTTTGTTAGCATAGGTGGAGTTAGTTTTGTATATACCACATGCTTCCTAGCCATCTTCATTGAGATTTATTTTGTTTTTTCTTTGCCCTTAATTGTATTAATTTATGTGAAAAACTGGTCTGGGTTCCATATTTTTTGGAAGCCTATCGCTGTATTTTGAGTGAAGATTGCTGACATGACAGGGAACAGTGAGTGGCATTGAAGTTTTGACTGTCATGAATTTATGAAACAGAAGAGGCAGTAAAACGCAAAATGATGCACTTTTATCATTCTATATTATAATAATAAGAAGAAAAAGAAAACTAACATTTTACTAAGTTAGTAGTTGGAACGTTGCAACGTGGGGGATCTGAATAATTTTAGTTAAAGAAGTATGAAATCAAATTATCCTACTTACCAAGTCTAGGCTTCTCTACATATATAATATATAGCAGCAGTAGATAAAGATATCAAAGACACAAGTAGTAATAGATACAGATATCCCAGACACAAGACAAGTAGTGACCAATCAATTTTAATTAGGTTAAATGGGTGAAACTTCTTCTACACTTTAATTTGTTTATAATTGAGTTTCTGAATTTCAAATTTCGTTTTTACTATATCTGAATTTTTTATTTTTTAAAATTTAGTTCATTCAATGATTTTTAGTCATCATTTTCCTTTCTAAAAAATTTAATTCTTGATATCTTGAATCGAAGTTTTGTATACACATTTATTTTAAAAAAATAATAATCTCAAAATTTTCAAAATCAAAAAATATATTTGTTTATTTTTTTAACGTTAAAAAGTATATAAAATCTGAATGATCTCAAATTTTTGGAAGAATCCCACATAAATTTTATTCCAATAATTTTCATTTTAGAGTTATCTATGTGATTGTCATTTTTATGAATAAGTGATAGAAAACTAAAAGATAAATAAATCTCAAAAAAATAAAAGTTTAGGGATAGCTAAATTTAAAATTCAATAATTCAATTTTAAATGAGTTAAAGTTTAAAAAAAGTTAGAGCTATTTAGTTTTTTTTTAACTATAGTATGATGTCTGAGTAATGAGCATAATAATAATAATAATAATAATAATAATAGGTGATGATATAATTTAGCCAAACAGCAGTCATAGAATAAAAAATATCTATGATCGGAACCATGCTTTGAAAATGACGAGTGGGGGTGGGGGTGGGAGTGGAAGTGGGAGGGAAGTTGAGAACGAGGGGGCCTGCTCCAAACTTACAACCACCAAATGCAAAACCTGAGACCCTCTATAATATGTTACCTCTCAACTTATTAACAACCACTCTAAAGCATTAATTAGTTATCAGAAATAGAATAGTGAAAATAAAAATAAAAATTATATTTTCATTTTATAGTTGTTTAGTTGAAAAATTAAAGTAAGAATAAAAATAAAGAGTGAAAATTAAAATTAACATAGTTTCATTTTTATGTGATAAATGAGAATAAAAACAAAAAATAAAAATGATATTCTTTTTTTCAAAATAATGATACGTTATTTTTATTTATTGTATATTAATTACTTCTACATCACCGAGTGGCGGATGCAAGAATAAATGTCCGTGGGGGCTAAAATAAATATTTATAAATGTCATGATTTATACAAATTTATATTTATTATAAATAACATACCAATATATATTTTAAAATAATCTCAAAATACAATAACTCAAAGTAGATATATTCGTTCTTTCAAATCACGAAAATCATTTATAAGCGAATTTATATTAAAATTTTTAACAATTTCTTTTTCAATATATACTAACAAACAACCGAAAAGAAAGTCATATTCCATCTTGTTACGAAGCTTAGTCTTCGGTATGCTCATAGCTAAAAATGATCGTTCCGTGGTAGCCGTAAAAACCGAATAGTAAGAATAACCGTTATCATTTTATGTACAAGTGGATAACTTTCAAATTTTCTTCTCTTCATCAACCATTGACACAAATCGGATATAGTTGACAATATTTCAAAATTAAAAAGATTTGTACATTATGAAAATGCTCAAATTGTATCCTTAATTACAACATTTCATGATTAGCAAAGTCTTGAGGGTAAAATTTCTATACCAACTTACAAATGTCATCAATCCTAAATGATATGCGCATCTCTCTAAGATTTAAGGCCGAACTAAGAATGAATAGCTTTATCGTGTGATCATTGAATCTATTATTCGGTCCTTGCAATTGAAAATATATCACAACATTGAATATATCAATTTTGTAATGATGCTCAACTATAATTGCACTAAACATATTCATCAAACCGAAACATATTTCAAATGAAAACCGCAACGAGTATTCCCAACCCTTTTGCAATATCTCAAACTCGTTATTAAATGAATTAAAAATATATTAAGGATGTACGAAAACTATTCCGTGAGCATAAGATAGTTGTCATGAGAATGCTAGAATATTCGAGTGCATTTAGGATAACTTTTTTGTACATGGTGAATATTTTATCTCGTTTTTCGATGCATGAATAATAATTTTGTATGCAAAATAAATGTTTTGAGAATTTTAAATGTGCACAAAAAATGTTCTATTTGCATAGAATATTTGCTAGAGAGGTGCCGATTATTCCGTGCCATTGGATTAATTTTCCGATGTTCCGTGAATATTTTCGATGCATGAATAGTGCTTTTTCATGCAAATTAATTATTTTGAGTATTTTAAATATGTTTGCAAATTATCCAGTGGGCATAAAAAAATCATTTAGGAGGTATAAGAATATTCTATGAACTTAGGTGAATTTTTCTATACATAGGAAATATTTTTTTTGTAAAAATAAGTGTATTTTTACACTTATTTAAACCTCGAATTAATTATTTTGTGTAAAAATAAACTCATTTATCCATTGGTTAATCAAAATTCCAATTGAAGCATTCTAAAAAAAAATCAATTAAAGCGTGAACTAGGATGGTTTTATATTGAAAGTAGAATTGTGATAAAATAAAAAAGATGATAAAATAGTGTTCCATGGAAAAAAAAATGTGAGGGGTGGGGGGTGAGGGGGCATTCAACTTGGGTCCGCCCTTGTACACCAACACCTTTAATGATGGTGGTAATAAAAAAAAATTAACTATTATTATTATTCTGTCATCACTTCTCTTCAACTACCATTATCATATTTATTATACCACTACTACAAATGATTGTGACAAAAAAAAAAAAAAATTATTATTATTATTGTTATTATTTTTTTGTCATAACTCCTCCTTGATTATCACCATTATTTTTATTAGATCGCCTCCATCGACACTACTCTTCTTCTTCTACTATCACCTCCTGTAATAACTGAATCAAATTTTAAAAAAACATATTATTGTTATTACTATAGTGTTATTATTACCAGTTCTTCCTCCTCCACCACCACTACAACAATCACCGTCATTATTTTTACTATCATCATTGTTAATGAAATTATTTTTTTAATTATTATTTGTATTTATATTAAAAATCAAATATTAAAAGAAATTAAATTTTATTCTGATTTATTAATATTTTAAACATAGTATCAAAATATAAATCTTATTCTGATTCTTTAATTTTTATTTTGGTTTCTGTATTTTGGGGGTGGGTGGGTGGTTGCTGTTAAATAAATGATATAATAACAACGATTTCAAACAAATGAAGTACTCGTAAAAAAGTAATAAATAAATAAAAAATAAAAATCCTCCACATTGCCTGCTGTGGCTATGTCAACACAAACTGGAAAATGACCTAGCCTGCCCTGGTTCCACATAGATGAATGTCATAGAAGAACATTCGTGTTAGCTACTGGTAGTTTAAAATTAGGCCAAAATCTTACACCAATGATGGGCTGAAAAACTACTCTACACAAGAACACAAAGGTAGGATTACAAAAAGAAAGAAGATACCAAAGAGAAAAAAAAGGGTTCCGTCAAGGCAAATTTCAGCCTTGAGATTAGGATATTCATCGTGATTAAAGAGCTCTCCAAGACGAGAGTATCCGTCGCAGACATTATATTGTAACTAAAAACAGCTGAAGCCATTAGTGGGCTATGCGGCAATATGTTTAATCAGATAAGATGTGTTACGGCCGAATGTTTCAAGCCAATTTATTTATTTATTTATTTAATACTTTTGGCGTTAATTTGTCCTATTTTGAATTATTTTTATTGTATGGACTTGGACTAATGAATTAGTTCTCACGGATTGGATTCCTTATTAAAATTCGGATTTTGTCGAATAAGTTTAAGTTTATTGGGTAATGAATCCTTGTTTGTTATAGATCTTATTTGGTGAGGAATCATAATTAATAGAAGTATCATTTCAAGAATTCTTATTTAATGTAAGCACTCTAAATTGAAGTCTTTATTGTATAAGAATCCAAATAAGTCCAGAGTTCTTTTCCTCCAAATGTTTCGGTCAGAGTTAATTTTTATAACCCTATCTGAAATTACCTAGTTAATATTTAAGCAAAACTATTTTTTGCAAGTTTTTTACTAAATATTGAAATAAAATACTTCAAAAAAATTTGTCTTTTTTTAGACTAGGGCGAGTTCTTTTTTATTCTCAGAATGATCAACTAAGTTAGATTTTTGATCTTTTGTGATAGTAGTGATTGTAAAAAATGTTGTGGTAGTGGTTACTATATCTACATGATTCTTTGATATCCTGTATAATTACACCGATCTTTCCCTGTTCTAGAATTATTTATCCTTTATTTGTTTGATTGGATTTGAATCTTTATTACTCAGTGTTAAATAGTTTCAGCATTAAGCTCTATTGAGGCTAATCTGAAAAGAATAGAGGGTGTTAAATTCACAAGTTTTTTAAGATTTTGTCTGAATTTACCTTCAGCTAGTCTTGTTGCGTGTCTTGGATTGCTTGTTCATTGAGAGATGTTCGTTGTTACGTTTGGAGTTGGCTTTGAGCCGAACAGAGGTGTTTCAACATCTAAATTCACAGGTGTTTTGGTTTCACCTTTGATGCCCTTCTTTTTTCTTTTTTCTTTTTTTTCTTTTTTGTACTTTCAGAGCTGGGGCATCTTCATGAATCAGACATCTCTTCAAGAATACGAGAGCATAATTTCATCTGTTTGTTTAACTAATTTCTATTATAATAACAAATGAAACCACTGTGAAATACGAATGAAAGATGTAAACATAGAGGATAGAGCTATTTTCTAAACAGATGTTCATGCTTATCAAAACCAAACCTATCAATAATTATTACTTTTTTAAGCCAGTTCCACAAGGACATGATAGAAAGGAGGCCATAGTGACAACATCCCTCAATTGCAGTGGTCGCTCGTTGTAATTAGGAACAATGTGAGAGTTATGACAGTACTAATGTATACCTGTGAAACTGCCTCCCAGGTTGCCTAGTTTTGAACGGAAGATCCAATTCCCCATCTCATTCAAGAGAACATAACCAGAGATGAAACAAGCTTCAAATTTTGGCAGTGCATTACCATAGCATGAGAAAAACATGATGTGAAGCAACTTCAAATTTGCACTTGCTACCAAATAAATGCATAAAATACAAAATCACTGAGCAATCAATGGGAGTCTTCTTTTTTTTTTTCTTTTTTTATGTTACAAGCAGCTACTCCCAGTACTGATCCTTGAAGCTGCACAGGTAACTGGGGAGTACATTATATAGGTCTAGGCAGGTAACATGATATGGACAGGGAAAGAAATGAAGAAATAAAAAAGATATAACATTAGTAGAGCACAAAAATTTTCGGTCAGTGCATGCCCCATTCAAAATTTCCCCTCTTGATGTGGTGACATTAGCATAGGCCTGCAATGACCAAGTAAATCTTTAGAGAAAATGAGATCATAATTGGTAACATATGAATACATATGAAAGATCTCAAGACCACATACTTTGAAGATACTATTTTCTGGAGTCTTAAGATTCAGAAACAATATATCATCACACCACACTGAAAGAATAAAGCAACAATAAATGGAACAACAAAAGAAGTTCAATTTAACTAGCATCTCGAAAGGTACACTTTTATCCTCAATAAATACATACATCCAGAAAGGATGTCACTTAATGGAGTTAAAATGTTTTATAACTAAATGTAATATAGATTAAACTGATCACCCATGACAGTTGTTATAATTAGAGCATCATCCTTTTTTATTTTGTCTCATTATTAAGGTCAAATCTCAAGGATGCTGCCTAAATCATTTGTTCAAATATATATATATATATATATATTTGTTTGCTGCAAAATACCCTCATGGCGCATTCCAGATGCAATATATATTTCATGTCCAGTTCTTAATATAAGCGTTTCGATTACTTTCCTCATTCTGAAAAAGAAGAAGCCAAAAAAAAAAAAAGATTTACTTTCCAGTTCTCCGTTTTAATTACTGACCTTAACTTTATAGAAATCTCCTCAATCCCTTTTTCCTTCTCCATTACTAGCAATTCTAATCATACCCTCGTGTGCCTTTTAGATATCTGACATCAAAAAGGCACAAAAATTCAAGCTGCAGATGCTCTGAATCTGATTATTGGCAAAATTACCAGGCCATCAAACCAAACCTACAAAAAATGTCAGCAATCAGTAACTTGCTTATTGGAGGTCTAAAAGTAGTTTGAAGACAGACGAGCTTCACCCCCAAAATGTCCTGATCAGTCTTCAGAAACCAGTCTTGCAGGTTGCTTTATTTAATGGACAGACCTCACTCCTCTATTTGTGTCAGAAAGAACGTTGAACAAGCTTGATGACAACACATTACCCTCGTCTTTCATATTTCTTAGCGAACTCTTTTAGTAGCAATTGCTGCCGAAAAGCCAAATATTTATCTAAACTAGTTCCAGCCCACTGCTGACAAAAGGATTCATCAGTTGGAACAAATGAACTAAGAGGAAATGGCCCCTTCGGAGCTTTCTTTAAGGCAACCAAGAACCTATGGCGGGGACGAATTCTCTGGTCCAAAGATAAGCTTAAGTACATTGGGTATTTGGTCAAGGACTGCACCTCATTGCGAAGTTCATTGATCAAATACAAGTACTTTGGCTTTAGATTGTCTTCCAGTGATAGAGACAATACCTGATAAGACAAGCAGCATCATCATTACAACATGTAAAAGAAAACACCATCAAAGTCTTGAAAATGCATACAATCAAATAACAAACTTTATAATGCACAATAATATATAATGGAAAAACCATTTTTTACTCTCTATCAATGTTTTACATCATCCCTCCTTGACATGTTAAACCTACTTATAGCAAAAGCAAAAACAGCATTAAGTTCTCTACAAATATGGAAGATAAACATAAAACATAGCCATATAGAGAAACCAAGCAATTTTCTGTAGCAAACAACCAAAGCATATATATCCAACATAAGTAGAGAGAGAGTTTTCATAATTTCGATACAAAGTGAAGCAAATTAACCTGGGTAAGGCTGGTCAAGACTTTCAAGATATCAGAATTATGCATCCCAATACTCCTCAGAAAATTGATCCTTGGGAGAAATCCATCATCAATGCTGTAATGGAGGAGCTGGGGGTGTTTTGTTACCATCTTTACCACACTATCTCTGGATGCTCCCAGCTCCTTGGAAAGAAAAAGATAGCGAGTGTTCCATGATATGTCAATCCGCTGAACCAGGATTTGAGGGCTCAGCTGCACAACTTTGCCTAAAATTTTGTCATCAATTCCAACCTCCTCAACCAAATATCTAACTGTGGGTTTTAACGAATTCTCGACACTGTAAGAAAAGAGAGATGGAGCAGCAGCAATTATCTGTCCTATTCTGGAATTTGGAATACCTAAACCCATCAAGAAAGCAACATGAGACTTCAAATTACTCTCCACCGTATATTCCAGAATTTGCGGTTGCCTCAAAAGTATTCTTTTTATATCTCTATGTTTGACACCAATACTCTGCAGGTACTCCAACCTCTCCTGTGCAGAGCATACATTTATTTGGAGCGATGGCATGTGCCTCTCGTAGATTTGGATAAAGTGTGATTCCTTGAGCCCAAATGTGCTTAGGTAATCCAAAAGTGGGATCCACTTTTTATCCAAATTTATTTCTTCAGATAGCTTTGGATATCTGTCCTCAGTAGATTTCCCTGTCATCAGCTGCAACCGAAGAAAACGCTCAAGTTCTTTTGCACCATTAGAGACACAGTATTTAGGAAACTCTAAACCATACCTTTCCTTGTCTATTAATGCCCGAGGAATCAGCTTCTTTAGTGCTATTTTTAAACCGACTCTTTTCCCGACTCTTGTTGCTAGTTCTCACTTTGAATGGTCTGTGGTCACCTGCAAGCACAAAATTCTCCTTGAGGCTTGAGGCATTTATCATCCCTTGAAAACCTGTCAAAGCCTTGTCAGGACATTAGAGCATACCTTCTCTTGGACTAGTTTTCTTCTGTAAATTAACTCTCTTCTTTCCATCAACTTCAAAATCCACAGGTTCTGCAAATTCATCCTGAATACAAACATTCAACAGTGAGATTAAAAGCAGGGAAAATTAGCATACAGCTAGCAAGTAGCGAAGGAAAATTAATAATAAAGATTATATTAATTCAACGATTTGAGAGTCCAAATTAGTAAAAGAAAAGAAAATGAGGTAGCAATTTAGAAAGTAAATAAAAGTTGAAGAGTAGGGAAGGAACTAGGAAGGGAGGGTTGAGATTTGAGAAGAAACTCACAGGCAGTAACCAATCATCATCAGTGTCATCGAAGGTGTGGCCGTAGCGTGACTTTCGATTAGGCTTGAGAATCTTAGCATTTGAGTGGGTGGATAAAACCCTCACCCTCACACTGCCTTTCCGTACACTCAAGTAAGCTTGAGAATGATGAGAAAGAACAAGATAGTCAGAGAAGGAGAGGAGATTTGGATTTAATGGATAAAATGAGCAAACAGCCATGCCTTATGCTTTCGGGTTTTAGACAGATAGAGAGAGAGATTTTCGATAGAAGGGAATTGTAAGAGAATATACCCAAAAACCCTACCTCGCCTCCAATAATATACATATTAAGTAATTAATGAATTTAAATAATATAACTCTCTCTTAAGTAGCGTTATTAATTAATCGCAGGGTTTTAATTTTAAAAAATGGCTGTTTTTACTTTAGTTAGCCTTCCAATTTCAATTCTTTTGTTCTGAAACGACACAGTGTCATTTAACCAAAGCCATTAAAGAAAGAAAACCCAACGATGAATCTTACAGTAAGTACTTGAGTGATTAGAAACGATGACGTTCAAACCACCCGATCCACTAGCGTCTTGTGTGGTTGACGCCAGAGCAGCCTAAATAAGTTGACGTGGCCCAATCTCTATTACGAGTACGAACTACTGAAAAAGAGAACTAAAATTAAATAAATAGAAAATAGAAAAGAAGTCGCAATCGCTTGAGGTATCTAGTCAGTACGTACTGCAGTGCCATGGAAGCAGCAGTAGTTGTTCCTTCTTCTTCTTCTTCTTCTTCTTCGAGACCTTTACTAACATTTCCTGCAAACACGAAAACTCTAATTACTACTACTAATATTAGGAACAGAGTCAGAATCCCGACTCCCCCTTTTCAAATTCAAAATCAACAGGACAGTATTCTTGTCGTATAAGAAGCAGGTCCAGGATTTCAGTCATCAATGACAGTACTGACGTTTTGGGTGCAGCAGATATCGATAGAGGCCAACTAGAGCTCAGCTGGCAAATTATTGTTGGAGCTATAGGTATACTGTTTCATATTATTGATCATGTATAGAACTTTAATACTGCTGCTTGATCTTAATTAATTCATATATTACTTGTTAATTTTATTTAATATGTCTTAATTATCTAAACATAAATTACAAATAATATGATGCAGCTGGAGTAACACCTTTTGTGGTAGCTGGGATTGAGTTCACCAAAAGAATAGTAAGTACTACTGCTCTGGATTGCGCATGTTAAACATCCATACCTTATGGTTTTATTATTATTATTATTATTATTATGTACTTATCATTTCCCACTCATGGTGGATCAACAATTAAATGGCTAAATTATAAAATATCACCTCAGCTTGACCCAAAAAACAAATACTTCTTCAATTATAAAATATTTAATTTTACTTCCTAAACAATATAATTTTTTAAATTAAATGTACCTTTTTCTATTAGAGTTGTATTAATAAATTAACAGAAAACTCTTACAAATACCCTTCTAAACAAGAAATAAATAAATAAACTAAAAAAATATCTAATTTTACCCTCTAAACAATATGAATTTTTGAATGTGCTCTTTCTACTAGGGTTTCGTTCTGAAAAATCCATGCATAAAAATCTTCTCAATTCCTATTATTTTCTTTATTAACTTAGGAAAAAAAAACGTTTGGCAATATAAAAGAAAAAGAGAAGAATTGAAAGGATTTCAAGGGCTATTCTTCAATTTTTTAATGAAATCCTAATAAAAGGAACAAATTCAAGAAAGCATATCGTCTAGAAGATAAAATCAAAGATTTTTTTTCAGTTCGAAATGACATTTTACAATTTAACTCAATCAAATATACATATGAAATTTTCTTTGAATGTCTAATGGTTCAGACTCGAGATATTTCGTATTTTCATAGAAGCAATTAAAATGGATATTAATTAGAAATGAAGAAAGGCTCTCTCATTATATGGGAGAAGGCCCATTAAACCTCCTATCAAACTGAAAAAAAATAAAAATAAAAATAAAAAAATAAAATCATATATACATTTCGATATTTTAAAAATAAATTAATAGAGGCCACAACAATAGTTGTGTTGAGGATTGAAGATCCACCTTAAAACTTTCTCTCCTCAAAGAGCTGCTATATATATATATATATATATATATATATATATATATTACAAGTAAATTATAAATTAATCTTTTTAGTTTTGTAAAATAATTTAAATAATAGTTTTTCAAAAACTAATTGATTTGTGCATTAACTAACCTAGTATTAACTATGCTTAATTTAATATTAATTTATTTCAAAAAAATATTTTTTCCTCGTTAATTTTTTTCATAATATCTATTTTTTAAAATAAAAACCAAAATAAATTGGAAAAGATATGAAATGGACAAAAGGACTAGTTAATAATTTTTAAAAACTATAGAGACTATTTAATTCATTTTCCAAAGCTAGAGGGACTAATTTATAATTTACTCTATTGTGTATTTATCGTTCTTCTTCTTCTTCTTTTCCAATTCGATGGATTGACCAAGTTTACCTATATTTATTTTATTAAAACGAACTCTTACATGTAGGGGCTTTCTTGCAAAAAAAAATGATAGAGGGACTAAATTGTATATAATATAAAATTAGAGGACAGAAACTTTCAAAGAAGAACTAAAATGTTATAAAAATAAAATGCAGGGACTGAAATAAATTATTGAAAGATTTTCAAAAACCAAAACGAACTTTTGTGAAAATTTAATTTACTCTTGTCCCTGGATTATACACCAAACGATGGAAAACAACATGTATTTAATTATACAGTTTAGTCTAGTTTAATTTCATTATTTGTTATCCAGTCCAATCATTTTCATTTATTCCATTCTGTCCAACATTCCAAACGCACCATTAACCTAACGCTTTACATGGCAGATAGCACAAAGAAGATGTGAAGTATGTGGAGGATCTGGACTTGTTCTAAGGGACGAGGACTATTTTCGTTGCCCAGGATGTGGTAAGACTCGTGTATATTTTTTGCCTTTTAAGAGACAAGCTGTTACAACATAAGAACGAATAAACTTATGTTTCTTGGCATTTGGCAGGAGGGTTTCTACCTTGGCAGTCCTGGAAAAGATTCTTCACCGGTTAATATCAACTTTCGTTTTTTCTTTTTTGTCTGTATATGCACTTCTTTCTTACTCGTTTTATAGCACATGCTGTGAATGTGTGTTATTCATGTAATGTCAAAATCTATATTCTTTGAATGACAAACCGATATTTCAAGCTTTTAGACTCTTCATTTAGTATTTCACCAAAAATAATATATTGAATTGTAAGAAAAAAATATTTTTTTATTATATGCATATATTAATATCAAAGTGCTCTAAGTTAATTGCAAATTATGGTAGCGTTGTGTGTTTTTTTCAAAATGTTATTCCAATCAGTTTATTCGAAGTGAAATCAAATCTAGAATTACAAAAAAAAAAAATAGACAGGCCAGGAGCCCAAGCCCATTGCATCTAGCTTGGTAGGAAGGCCCGCAAGCTTTCTTAGATTACGATCTGCTTTTTCCAGACGTGTCGGGGCTTCCCACCACCGTCAACTAAGTCCCCTAGTCGATCCAAACGCATGGATGTCAATGACAATTTTTTTTGGCTGCAAAAGACATTCTCTCTCCATCACTTCTTCTCATATGATTTAAATATATAGAATATGAAGGGGTGGTTACTGTTGGAGTATTGAATATATTTCCATTTCATGACTAAAGTGACTTTCTTAAATTTGATAGGAAAAAAAAGTGACCTTCTTAACTTATATCAGTACGTCACTTCTTACGCAAATTGCTCTAATCAGCATTGACCTCATTTTTTACGCTTGTCTTTGCTGCGACTTTTTGATCATGTAGGATGCTTCCAAGGGATGGTGGTACCAACCCTTTGTTTCCAATCAATTTTATTTTATTTTCAACTCCTCAAAGTCTTCTTCTTCGCTGTCTTTGAAATTTTATTGCAAAATTTTCTCTTCATAAAGTTCGTAAAGGCAATCTATGATAAGGAAGTCGTGTCTCACATCTTCCATATATTTGTACAGACGTTGTTGAAAGGTTTGACTTGCGTATCATAAATGTCATAATAATTTTGCTTCAGCTACTTAATCTGATATTGTAAAAACTCCATTACGAAAGTCAAAAAAAACATCGCTATTCATGAAATTTGAACATCTTAATCACACAAGTTTGGACATGTTAATCACATAGTCAAGTTCTACACACAACCATCACTGTATCTAAAACTAGTAAAATCATATGAAGGAACCATCACTCGAAACAAACAACTTTATTCCTTTCATTGCTTTTAACCTTTCGAAGATATCTAAAACATTAATTAGGTGAATTACCAATAATTATAAATTTATTTAATTTAATATTGAAAATTAATAACATTAACTTACTTCATATGTCAAGTGGATTGAAAAATGTTTCATAGAGTTAAAGAAACTCGGTGAAAATATACGTTTTAGTTTGCACAAAATTATGAATATTTCTTCCTCAAACCATATCATATCTTCTACCCTTATGATGGTAGAAATCAAATTTTTAAATAATAAACTCAACTCTATAAGTTCCTAACCAATATTTTTCGATAATGACTCATGAAATACAATAGGGATTAACCACTACATAAACACATGGCGAGTCATGACTTTTCATGCCTACAATTTATATTTGTTCATATCCACACATCTAGCCATATTTGACACATATCTATCGGAAAACATTTAAATTGTACTCGAAAGAGATTAGTACTCCAATATATCAAATCTCATAATATACTCCTTTTTCCAACCAAATAATCTACATATTCTACTATTACACTCATTGGCACTTTGGCTCGCAACTTTCATCAACCTCTAATTATTTATCTACTCTAAAATCTCTCTCCCAAAAGGAATTGAGGAAGCGATATCCGTAACAACTCTATATTTTATGAATGAGTTCTTGTTCCTTTTAAATAGATAATCTACGAGTAGAAAATTACGATGATAGTCAAATCATGACGTCTTGCTTTCATTAGAAAAAGGTGAATACATCGAATTCTCTAGGCAATAAGGACATGCTAATTTTCATATAGTACTCCAATCGGAAAATATTGAATATATAAGAAAGTCCTTAATTGTCCATATAACTATAACGCGCATTAGAAAAGTTTGCTTTCAAGACGCATCGTAGGTCAACGCACCCAC